TATATATATACGTTTAATTTATAAATACATTTTGTTATATATATATATATATATACACACGTTGACTTTTGTTGACCGGGCCGGGCCGGTCCTGTCCTATAACCGGTTACATAACCGGTTCCGGTCTTAACCGGTCTCGGTCATAAAAAACGTTAAAATCCATAACCGGTCCATACCGGTCCCGGGTCGGTTCCAGTCCCTCTCCGGTCCCGGTTCCGATCCTCCGGCGGTTACGGGCCGGGCCCATTTGACCATCTCTATTCCATAGTAACAACTGGGCTTTGAATTGTAGCAGTTTTAAAATTTCCTTTTGTTCGCATAAACAAAGGTCGGCCCATATTCAACATCTGGTGGTGGCCCCAGAATTGATAGCTATATTGGAAGACATCTGGATCCCTTGGTTAATATCCGTGGGACAAATGGCAGAATCAGAATCTTGGTTGATATGGTCAACCACAACCTGGGTAGTTTACTGAAAAGAGGAACCTGAACCTGTATGGCAGGTCTGCATGGACAGGACAGGTCACCATCTTTTTTGTGAGTCTAAACTAGCATAAGGCTCCATACGAGCCACCAACTTTTCAGTACTTTCCATGCTAGAACCATTGGAGGTTTTGGATTCAAACATGTGACCGTAGGTAGGTAGGGTCAACTTCATTGCAAAGCTCCAAAATTGCCACAAGACTTTAGAAACAGGCATGGCTTTATTTCCATGGGAGAAAACAACGGAGCTTTCAGAAATAGTATTTAGTAACAGCATGGTTCTTGCAAACAGAAGCAACAAGACCCTCACTAACGGCGTTTGTGTTTTATGAGTTATGATTTGAAAATCCGAAAAAGGTGATACGGTCGATTGCACTTATTTGGTCCTTGTGATATTAATCAATAAACGACAAAAGGAGGAAATGCAGATGCCAAAAGCCCACAAATAATGGTACGCCATTACCATTTTCAGAATTCTAATACCTTATATACCACCTTCCCCTTCCTCCTCATTTCCTCCCCACCATTTTCAGAATTTTTTCTAGTTCTGAGTTAGCACCATTTTTAGAATTTCTTCAATGGCCTTACGATAACTTCCATGAAAGAATAACTTCAATGGCCTTATGATATGGAGCAACAGATGGTCGAGCAAAAGNATTTTTAGAATTTCTTCAATGGCCTTACGATAACTTCCATGAAAGAATAACTTCAATGGCCTTATGATATGGAGCAACAGATGGTCGAGCAAAAGAATGCTATCAAGATTAAGGATGAGACTATGGCGGAGCTTGCTCTTCAAATCCCTCCATTTCAAGAGAAGCTTCAAGAGTTGGAGGAGATGGTGAAAGACAAAACTCGACTTGTTGTTGGATGCGCAAGTTGAAGAGCTTAAAGGAAGCAAGAAGAATTTGACTGATGGAAATCTTAGTAAGTGATTTTTCTTACAAAGTTTGATTTGCAAACACACACACAACAAAGAGATACAAAAACACACATTACCTATTGGAAAACCCCCCAATCCTTTGGCTTATAACAGAAAACGCACATCACTTGTGTCTTCAATCCTTTGGGAGAATTTCTTCCACCATCTCTTAAAAACACACAATAAAATCATATATTAACCCTCTACTTTTCTTACAAGAGCCGACAAATAACCGTAATCAAACACACGCCACTACAATTCCAGTACCTCTACCTCACACACCCTTATATAGCACCTTCCCCTTCCCCTTCTCATTCCCATTCTCATTCCTCCTGATTTCCTCCCATTGTGAGATAGCAGAAATGGCCTTGTCCATCTTCCGTGAAAAAATAAATTCCATCAAAGCACTACCGGATGAAATGGAGACGCAAATGGTGGAGGAGGAGAATACCATTAGGACCAAGGAGCAGACCATGGCAGAACTTGCTCTTCTAATCCCTCCACTCCAAGAGAATCTGCAAGAGGCGGTCGATAATCTGAATGAAACCAAAAGGATGTTGCAAGCCAGGCAGATGGAGATTGAAGAGCTCAAGAAGAAATTGACTGATAGTAAATGATTTTTCTAACAATCTTGATTGTGTTTATGTTTTTTATTCTAAGAGGGTTTCTTGTTCTTTATATTGTAGGTAACTAATGGAGCAATTTTTAGAATTTCTNGGATACCGGATGATATGGACCAGCTGATTGTCGAGCAGGAGAATGCTATCAAGATTAAGGATGAGACTATGGCGGAGCTTGCTCTTCAAATCCCTCCACTTCAAGAGAAGCTTCAAGCGACAAAAGGAAAGGCAGATGACAAGAGCCGACAAATAACCGTAATCAACCATGATGTGAGGCACGCCACTACAATTCCAGTACCTCTACCTCACACACCCTTATATAGCACCTTCCCCTTCCCCTTCCCATTCTCATTCTCATTCCTCCTGATTTCCTACCATTGTGAGATAGCAGAAATGGCCTTGTCCATCTTCCGTGAAAAAATAAATTCCATCAAAGCAATACTGGATAACATAGAGACGCAAATGGTGGAGGAGGAGAATACCATTAGGACTAAGGAGCAGACCATGGCAGAACTTGCTCTTCTAATCCCTCCACTCAAAGAGAATCTGCAAGAGGCAGTCGATAAGCTGAATGAAACCAAAAGGATGTTGCAAGCCAGGGAGATGGAGATTGAAGAGCTCAAGAAGAAATTGACTGATAATAAATGATTTTTCTAACAATCTTGATTGTGTTTATGTTTTTTATTCTAAGAGGGTTTTGTTGTTCTTTATATTGTAGGTAAGGAGCAATTTTTAGAATTTGTGTCAAAGTTTTTTCCATTTCATCAGTATGTTTGGGTTTGTTACGACTATTAAAGTTTGATTTGTGTATATTTTTATGCCTTTTTCACTTCCCTCACAAAACAAAGCTGCAATCATCTTGGGTAATGAAAAGCCGTCATAACCATGACATTGGTAAAACAAATATCAATTTAAAAATAAAAATATAATTACATGACAAAAAAAAAATATATATATATATATATATATATATATATATATATATAGTTATATACTAGTTGTTGCGCTAGTACAATTATAATAAAAAAAATAGACCAAAATATAAGTTATAAATTAATTTTTATCAAAAAAAAAAGTAGCTACGATGGGCTGCGGTGATACTGAGACACCACCGCCACCTGACATACTTTTCTTCCACATACTACCAAGAGTGCCAGGTAAGTCCGTACACCGTTTTTCTGTGCGTTTGCAAGCAATGGTAGTCGTTCCTGACAACGCCAACGTTTGCCAAGATGCATCAACACCACCACAAACTTCTTATTACCTTATCCACCACAACAACACCATGCAAGTTTAGCACCATCAACTTGGAAGCACCTCAAGACGGTCTAACTGCGAGCCGTCCTTTACCTTTCGAAGCCAGTCATGAACACGTACAGATCATAGGGTCTGTACGTGGACTGGTATGTTTACGCATGATTAACAAGTGCAACGGGAGGATATACACCGATATAATTCTATGGAATCCTTTAACGGGTGAATACAAGACCGTGCCTAGACCCAACGTCGAAAAATGTGACGTGACCACCGCAAAAATNTCTAACAATCTTGATTGTGTTTATGTTTTTTATTCTAAGAGGGTTTCTTGTTCTTTATATTGTAGGTAACTAATGGAGCAATTTTTAGAATTTCTGTCAAAGTTTTTCTTGTTCTTTATATTGTAGGTAACTAGTGGAGCAATTATTAGAATTTCTGTCAAAGTTTTTTCATTCCAGCAGTGTGTTTGAGTTTCTTACGACTATTAAAGTTTGATTTGAGTATACTTTTCTGCCTTTTTCACTTCCCTCTCACAAAACAAAGCTGCAATCATCTTGGGTAATGAAAAGCCGTCATAATCATGACATTGGTAAAACAAATATCAATTTTAAAATAAGAATATAATTACATGACAAATATATATATATATATATATATATATATATATATATATACTAGTTGTTGCGCTAGTACAATTATAATTATAATTTAAAAGAGACCAAAACAAAAGTTATAAATTGATTTTTATCAAATAAAACACGCAGGTGGATGAAAAAGGATCAAAAGCTTCTCACTTAACAATGGTGACGGGCACCGATGTATTACGAAAATGCTACTCTAGTCTAGCTCTATCTCGTAAACAAATTATGTGGATGAAATCCAAGAAACCACATAGACGTATGCAAACAAATTTTACAATTCAACATAGAATAGAATAGAATGTATGCTTTTATAACAATTTTTATTGCAAAAAAAAAACATTTTTTTTTTTTTCCTATCCAGTTGATGTACGTATCGATCACTACATTTTATTTGTCCCATCACACGATCCATTAAATTTTAAAATTTAAATTTATTTTATCAAACAAGAAAATTACTGGAAAATTAAGAGGTTTACTTCTAAATTAACAAGTATGCAAAAAAAGAAACATAATGTACAAGAAAATAGAAAAGAGAGACAAAATTGAATGTAAATAAATTTAATGGATAATTTTTAAAAAAGATAACCAATTTTGGTTTATTACCCACAATAAAAATTGTTTTTTACTCAATAAAATATAAAGAAAAAAACCCTGCCTATTTAGTCAAACCGCAGGAAACGGAGGTTAATTGTTGTATTCTTAAACAAAATAACCTAAAATTAAGCATTCAATTCTTCCTCCATATTTATCGATAAAATATTTGTAATTTGTTAACATCTCGATACTCCTTTCCTTCTTCTCTCTCTCTCTCTCTCTCTATATATATATATGTGTGTGTGTATGTGTCGATATTCCAATCCAAAAAAAAAGTAGCTACGATGGGCTGCGGTGATACTGAGACACCACCGCCACCTGACATACTTTTCTTCCACATACTACCAAGGGTGCCAGGTAAGTCCGTACACCGTTTTCTGTGCGTTTGCAAGCAATGGCAGTCGTTCCTCACAACACCAACGTTTGCCAAGATGCATCAACACCACCACAAACTTCTTATTACCTTATCCACCACAACAACACCATGCAAATTTAGCACCATCAACTTGGAAGCACCTCAAGACGGTCCAACTGCGAGCCGTCCTTTACCTTTCGAAGCCAGTCATGAACACGAACAGATCATAGGGTCTGTACGTGGACTGGTATGTTTACGCATGATTAACAAGTGCAACGGGAGGATTTACACCGATATAATTCTATGGAATCCTTTAACGGGTGAATACAAGACCGTGCCTAGACCCAACGTCGAAAAATGTGACGTGACCACCGCAAAAATAGTCGGGTTGTATCACAGTTGCGACGATTACAAGCTTCTACTCGTAACTAAGGACTGTAATGTTTATATATACTCGTTGAAATCCGACTCGTGGAGACAGGTTGAGACGACAGAAGAGGAGTCGAGCTTTCTACCCCATTTACACAATTACTGGCTATCGGAATATCAATCGACTCAACCGTGTGTTTTATTAAACGAAAAAATGTATTTCATAAATACGATAACTAACTTGAATTATGAAATGTCGAATTATGTAGTCGTTGTAAGGTTTGATTTGAAGACGGAAAGGTTGAGAAAGATGGCAAGTCCTTGTGACGGAAACGGGATATGGAAAAGGTGTACGAGTTCCATGGTCGTAAGAGGGTGCGTTCACTTGTACGTGATATATCGGGGACAGATTAATGGTGATAGAAGATTTGTAGCAGAGCTGTGGCAGATGGACGAAGACGGAGACGGAGACGGAGATTGGAGAATGGTAGCAAGTAGTCCTTGGAGTTTTACGTGTCCAGTGCACTTGATGAAGAATGGAAAGTGGGTGATGATTGAARAGGATGGTCATGGCCGTRCCATTTACGAAGCAGATCTGATGCATACAAAAAAGGTGGTGTATTCGTATCCCCGAGGGACCATGATTATCACACCAGCATGGAAATACACGGAGACTTTGGGGATCAATATGTTTAATTAATAACTAGAACGTTGTGTATCCGTGCAATGCGGCGTGAGTTGTGAATTTCATCGATTTTGAAGTTTCATTGGTTTTATTAGAKAAAAWTTAACGATGATATAAGTTACACTTGGTATTTACATGTTAATACAATTTGAATAATAAGATTAGGATTTCAATTACAGTCTATCGATGGAAAAAATTGTAAGACAGTTTAAAAATCTAATATATTTAAAATCCAACATATTTAAATGACTCCACAAATGTATTCGATTTACACCAAGAGCAAAAAATCAAGAGATCGAGAGCGAGACCGAGACCGAGAGTTCTGTAGCAATTGAATAAAAGATGAACGAGAGAACTTTTAATAACTTATTGTGAATATCAATTTGAATCTCACATTGGGGGATGAGGATAAGACATAGAGGTATGAGAGAGTTAAGACATGAATGAAAAGTGTCAAAAACATCTTGAGAACATGAAAAGAAAAAAAAAAGTGTGTATTGATAACTTGTACTATATATTATTTTAATTGTAGCTTAAAAGATTTTAATACTAAATGCATAAAGTAGTAGTACTTAATTCATTATGAGTTGTTTTTAAGACTTTGTGCATAAATGTATAATACTTGATGCATTAAAATTTGTTTTTAAAACTTTTGATAAATTTGATTTATAAGTTAGTAAGATAAGAGGTAAGATAAGATTAATTACGTCATTTTTTTAATATTATTTTCTTTAATTACTTCTTATATGTTACCATTCATGTTTATGTATTTGTCATTTTTTTATTCAAAGACTGATTACAAAGTTACGATAATAATTTTAGTTAACATTTGAACCACTCCCTATATACATATACATATAACTAACTTTGTTTGGTTTATTTGTCAAATATAATAAACAATGAACAACATATATATATATATATATATATATATATATATATATATATATATATATATATATAAACTAAAAGGGTATATGCACAATGCAGCGAGATACATCTCGATTTTAATTTGTCTCAGTCGATGTTATAAAAAATTAAAAAAATATTGATATTAGTACCAAAATGACTTTAAAATTTCTTTTTTTTATATGTATTTCTTTAATTCATATTTTTTTGCTTAATAATATAATTTTTATAAAGATAATAATTAAGTATTTTGTTAGAACTTAATAATCATCTTAATTATGTTTTAGATTCTTTATTCATTATGTTTATTAGTTAGTTGCATGCATTCAAACATATAGCTTTGAGAAACTNTACACCGATATAATTCTATGGAATCCTTTAACGGGTGAATACAAGACCGTGCCTAGACCCAACGTCGAAAAATGTGACGTGACCACCGCAAAAATAGTCGGGTTGTATCACAGTTGCGACGATTACAAGCTTCTACTCGTAACTAAGGACTGTAATGTTTATATATACTCGTTGAAATCCGACTCGTGGAGACAGGTTGAGACGACAGAAGAGGAGTCGAGCTTTCTACCCCATTTACACAATTACTGGCTATCGGAATATCAATCGACTCAACCGTGTGTTTTATTAAACGAAAAAATGTATTTCATAAATACGATAACTAACTTGAATTATGAAATGTCGAATTATGTAGTCGTTGTAAGGTTTGATTTGAAGACGGAAAGGTTGAGAAAGATGGCAAGTCCTTGTGACGGAAACGGGATATGGAAAAGGTATACGAGTTCCATGGTCGAAAGAGGGTGCGTTCACTTGTACGTGATATATCGGGGACAGAAGGGTGATAGAAGATTTGTAGCGGAGCTGTGGCAGATGGACGAAGACGGAGACGGAGACGGAGACGGAGATTGGAGAATGGTAGCAAGTAGTCCTTGGAGTTTTACGTGTCCAGTGCACTTGATGAAGAATGGAAAGTGGGTGATGATTGAARAGGATGGTCATGGCCGTRCCATTTACGAAGCAGATCTGATGCATACAAAAAAGGTGGTGTATTCGTATCCCCGAGGGACCATGATTATCACACCAGCATGGAAATACACGGAGACTTTGGGGATCAATATGTTTAATTAATAACTAGAACGTTGTGTATCCGTGCAATGCGGCGTGAGTTGTGAATTTCATCGATTTTGAAGTTTCATTGGTTTTATTAGAGAAAAATTAACGATGATATAAGTTACACTTGGTATTTACATGTTAATACAATTTGAATAATAAGATTAGGATTTCAATTACAGTCTATCGATGGAAAAAATTGTAAGACAGTTTAAAAATCTAATATATTTAAAATCCAACATATTTAAATGACTCCACAAATGTATTCGATTTACACCAAGAGCAAAAAATCAAGAGATCGAGAGCGAGACCGAGACCGAGAGTTCTGTAGCAATTGAATAAAAGATGAACGAGAGAACTTTTAATAACTTATTGTGAATATCAATTTGAATCTCACATTGGGGGATGAGGATAAGACATAGAGGTATGAGAGAGTTAAGACATGAATGAAAAGTGTCAAAAACATCTTGAGAACATGAAAAGAAAAAAAAAAGTGTGTATTGATAACTTGTACTATATATTATTTTAATTGTAGCTTAAAAGATTTTAATACTAAATGCATAAAGTAGTAGTACTTAATTCATTATGAGTTGTTTTTAAGACTTTGTGCATAAATGTATAATACTTGATGCATTAAAATTTGTTTTTAAAACTTTTGATAAATTTGATTTATAAGTTAGTAAGATAAGAGGTAAGATAAGATTAATTACGTCATTTTTTTAATATTATTTTCTTTAATTACTTCTTATATGTTACCATTCATGTTTATGTATTTGTCATTTTTTTATTCAAAGACTGATTACAAAGTTACGATAATAATTTTAGTTAACATTTGAACCACTCCCTATATACATATACATATAACTAACTTTGTTTGGTTTATTTGTCAAATATAATAAACAATGAACAACATATATATATATATATATATATATATATATATATATATATATATATATATATATAAACTAAAAGGGTATATGCACAATGCAGCGAGATACATCTCGATTTTAATTTGTCTCAGTCGATGTTATAAAAAATTAAAAAAATATTGATATTAGTACCAAAATGACTTTAAAATTTCTTTTTTTTATGTATTTCTTTAATTCATATTTTTTTGCTTAATAATATAATTTTTATAAAGATTATAATTAAGTATTTTGTTAGAACTTAATAATCATCTTAATTATATTTTAAATATTTTATATTTAAAATAAGATGTTTATCCTATATTTRATTATGTTTATCTGTAGTTAGTTACACAAATTCAAACATTAAGCTTTAATAAGTTGTACTTAAGCAAGATTTACTTGTAATCTTGATTTTTAAGTAACATGCATCAATAAACAGTACTTCAAATATAAAAAATAGGTTTTAAGAGTTTTTGTCAAATATTTTATAATATAGTATAGATATATATACCCATATATACATATACATATAATTAACTTTGTTTGGTTTATTTGTCAAATATAATAAATAATTTAACAAATAATAAATCGAGTTTTCATCTTCTAGATATGCATTTTGCTCTGAAAGTATGACTTGACCACTAACTCTGTTTGGTTTATTTGTCAAAATCCACGATTTACT